TATGTGTTACTCTAATTTATCGTTTGTTATGCGAACAGTGTTGCGATGTACTGCGTTATGAAAAATCAAGACGAATAAAATGTATGAATCACACATTAATCATGTTGTTTCTTTTGCATATTGCACATAATTAAGCGACGATTAATACACGGAAATTTTCACATTAATTATTAGAAGACAGTCTCCTATTATGAGATACCACATCTATTTTGCTGGAAGTTTATGTGCAAAATTGAAAACTGTAGTAAACGAGTGCACGCACGATCAAATAATAAATTTTTACGTTAATGACATACGTTTCCTGGTTAATGCGTGACTTATGATTTAATCTTTTTTTCCCTTGAGCCATCGAGATCATTCAAAAGTGGATCGACGCCGAGGTCGACGCCGAGGTCGACGCATTTGATGATTCTTCTCATATTTTTGGCCTTCTCGCACAATTACAGTTATTATAAAAAATTATTTACGTATTGACAATTTTATGACTTCTAATTTTTCATAATTTTATATTAATGTATTGTGCAATTAATATGTATGTATGTATTAGTTTATTGTCACCGAGCATGGACGTAGAAATATCTGAGCATATTTCCGCGGAATTGACTGAGAAAAAAGTAGAATCATGATCATTCAAGATAGCGATGATATAATTACACGAAGTATGGTTTATTTTATATTCACTTTTCCATTACTTTTAATTACAAAATACGTAATCTCAAATCGCAGCAATGTTTCAGTTAAAATCACGTATCAACATTAAAATAGACATATCGTGTACGCAAAATATTATCATTCGAGATAGTCTCAATAGATTTTCCCCTCATTCCTCAAATTTCACTTTCCTCGTTCAAAGGAGTAGTTATTACGTTCCGTTCAGATATACGTACGTCCATGTTCCCAGAATTATAATTTATCTCATACTTTCTTTTACTCATATTTTATTAACTCTCAATCTTTTATAAACCGAGGCATGTATGAGAAGAATCGAAGGATTAAATCGCTAGGATCCTCCAACAATTGACGTAGCCACGCATTACCCCAATTATATACTTAATATATATATATATATATATATATACATATATATTTCAATAATGTTGCAAAATTATTATTACTTAAACGTTGTTTTGATATTAAGTATAATGTCAACTTCAAGTAACATCATGTAATGCACTTATGTGTACATGTGTAATTTAATTCATTTATCTCAATTAAACTTTACATTTGTAAACCTTTATTTGTATAATTTCTTTTTAATCTAAAACTAGTTATCGCGATTAACTCTTAAAAAAAGAAAAAAGTGATGCTTTATTGCGACTCAAAATACAATGGATATAAAATTGAAATGTATACATATACATATAGGCATATATATCTCCATACATTTAAATACATGAAACTATGCGCGTAATTATATAATGTTTGGAATAAGTTCTTCATAGGTATACAAATTATTTCTTGACTTTATGTATCCCTGATACACACACGAGCGCTCTTTATTTACAATATTATTACAAAACCTTATTCAACATATATTTTATCTAATCGCTGCAGGTGAACTTGGCGTGAGACGCTATACCGCGTCTCTTGATATATTATCTGCATATATAATATCTGTATGTATTGCAGATCTATACATTTTATCAATTACATTCAAATTCCTAAATTACTATTTTTTTATGATTGCATAATTGTTAATCTTAAACAAATAACTTAATTTGTTATTGGATTTAGTAATTCGCTACACATGTGTCCTTTCAAAAGCAGCAATCAGATAATGTTATCAATGTTTACAAAATAAAACGAAGCCAGAGAGTACTCGTATGATAACAGAAAGCAGTTACGCAAAAGATTACGAAATAAATTGCACTTGAATAAAAGTGTATGAAGTGAATAAAATGTTGTGCTAATTTAAATAATTATACCAATTAAATAATCCCGATAATAAAGCAATGCAAATGTAAGTCAATCAATTTAATACATGGAATAAATTAATGAGTAATAATCAACATTATTAATTACTGACAGCATACAATAAAAGTTGTAATAATTAATTAATTCAAGTTTATTGCATAATGCTATATAATGTTTTCTAATAAATCCATTATTTAATTTATTACAATTATAAGGTAAGCATTATTAACAAAAATTAGATTTCGCGAGCGTGTATAATATAACAGTAATAAATTTTAATTATTAGATAAATTTTAATGCGTACTTTAGTAATTAGTTTTTATTTAATATAAATTGCTTCTAAATATAACAAAAATGTTAATCTGCGGAAGTTATATACTTATATTCTCGTTTTACTGCAAGACAGTTACGAGTTAGATGTGAGTTAGTACAGTCTTTATCGTCACACACACGACATGTTTTATCATATTTTTTGGCTGATCTACAAATGCTTTTTCGTGTTTCTTATGCATGTTTTATCAACAATGCGTATAAAAAATCAGTGACGTTTTAAATTACAATAACATCGATAATGCATTTTACATAATTTACTTTTACATAATATATGTCATTATGATAAAAACACCTTCAGTAATTCCAATCTTCATTCTCAATAGTGTCCTACATTATTTCTTTTACAGAAATGTGTAAACTATAAATGAGATAAAAATTATTTAAGACATGCTCTTATGAATCTGATAATAGTAGATTTATTTCTATCAATCAGTATTATGTTCTAATCTTGTTTCACCTAATCTGTTTCTTTAACATAAAAATCAAGTTTTTATCAAATTATTTTTTTTAAGTAAATTTTCTTTAACTTGCTTCCATTAATTCTTCCATCTTTGATGTAATTTAATTTACTTCGTTATATTTTATTTTTAATAAGATTAATATATTTCTACGTGTAATTTACATATGTATAATTTACATACAGAAGAGTTCCAGAAATAAGATAACAAAAAATAAAAGATTCTTTAAGTCGCAGTTTAAAAAAATAAAAATTAAGAATTTGTTATTGCGCAATGTCCAAGAAAGACATAAGATAACTGTATGACTCAAACTTTAAACCTTTCCCGTTCAAACACTGTAGCAGCCTCGACTTTTTGGCATTAGGTTTTTTGTCTCCAAATGATCTCAGCAAACTATTATTAACGGGTGATAAGGTAAGTTTGATATACTCTGCAACTTGTGGCAACAAAATTTTTAATTAATCTTAAATTACACACATGAATTACAGTGCAAAAAATTGACTTTTAATTTTAATAATTTTGATAAACTGTTTTATTTTGCTATTTCTCTTTCTTTCTTCTTATCTCAGATTTAAAATATCATTAGAATAAAGAAAATAAGTCCCTCGTAGATTTTATCATTTATTAATTTGACATCTACTGCTGCTCGATTATTGGCCTTATTCATTTATTGTTTTTAGACACACGAGCGAGATTCTTTAAAAAAATTAGATTTTATCATGTGTGTGTGTGTTTCTTACTCCACTACATTATTAATCCACTCATAAAAAAAACCTGTGTAAGAGGTTTAACTGTTGTACTTTCCCGCGATGCTGACTGGTTCTTTCATTGCGCTTACTTGGTAAGCATCTATCATCGCATATTTTAAGTTTTATATATCAAGGGGTTAATAGTGTAATGTAATAGTAATAGTATAATTGAAGCTAAATAGCGCGCGTGTAACGCGCGTCTGTGTCTAGTATAATTAAAAATTCTATGACAATAGGGAATCACTGAAATGATTGGCGTCATATAATTCGTACACTGTTGGAAAAATTGTGTACTTTTGTGAAAAAAATCTGCTGGTTAAAATTTTTGTGTTAAAAAATCAACACATACATGTGTAGATTTAACATATGTCTCCTATGTTAAATGAACTTAACAAATATAAAATGTAAAATTATTAAAATAATGAAAAAAATATGTTAAAGTAACACAATTTAAACGTATTTATTAAATGTGTTAAAATTTACAGAAAAAGAGTGTTGATTTGACTCTTTAACAGAAATGGGAATAAAAATTTATAGAAAAAAAGTGTTGATTTTACTCTTTAACACAAATAGAAGTAAAAATTTACAGAAAAAGAGTGTTGATTTTACTCTATAACAGAAGTGGGCATGATTGCGCATATAATTTCGACGTAGTCTTGACGTTACTCGTAGAGCCGGTTGGCGTGCTCGATCGTGTTTGGACGTGTTTGTCAGAACGAAAAAATTTTTTCAAGTATTGCGACTGTTACTGTCTGCGCTGTGATTTCCAATATTAGTACCGTGTATCGGCGTCTTTTGAGGCCTACAAGGCCTACAAGGCCTACAAGGCCTACGAGGCCTATGAGGCCTTCCTTTACGACGCCCTTTGCGGCTTATACGACAAGTGGTTTGCCCTGGCCAATATAGCCCAGTAGCTCGGCCATATAAAAAAAGAAGAAGAAGAGCGTCTCGACGTCGCTCATTGCCGCGCGGCAAGCGTTTCCGCGTCCCAGGAAACGTATGTGCAGGAGCCAATGGACAAGAGGCGTCGCTACGCGTGGTGGCGTCCGCGCCGTAATTAACCATTATGATTGACTATCTAGTCTGGGTAGCTATAGGTTGAGTTATCGTTGGCTCGAAAAGTGCCGAGTACGTCCAAATAAAGGAAAATCGGAAAGTTGTATGTGGACTGTGGTAACGCTAACGCACGGCATCGGCACGAAGTCCTATCGGTACCGATTGCGTGACGAAATTCTTCCGAGGGTCAGTATATAATAATTGCAAAACATAAAATATAAGAAAATGTTATTTTTTTACATTTTAAAAATGTTAATTCTTTATTAATATATATATATAGGGTGTTGGGTTTATAAATTATTATATATATTAAATAATTGAAATAAAAGTATTTCAATTATTTAATATGTATAATAATTTATAAACCCAACACCCTATATGTATATTAATAAAAAATTAACATTTTTAAAATGTAAAAATAACATTTTTTTATATTTACATTTAACACAAATAAAATGTTACGTTAATGTAAATCTTTTGTTAAAAAATAAACTTTTAACAAATAAACAGTGTAACTTTTACACATTATACTAATCAAAATTTGAGTTGTTACATTTGTAAAATGTAAAAAAAACATTTCTTATATGTTAATTTCAACATAAAAGTTATGTTATTTGTACACACACGTAACTTCAAATTACGATTAAAATTACATTTTTTTTCTGTTAAAATATTAACATAGTATTAATGTTACCATTTAACACATCCATATTATGTTAAATTAACACCAAAATTTGAGTGGACCGTTTTGGACATGTGATTTATGTTAAATTTAACACAAATTTTCCAACTGTATAACCATTGACGTCAAAAAGATTACAAACAAGAACTTTTCGACCACTCGATATGATGATGATATTCACAAGATGTAAACTTTTTTAGTAGAAAATTTTGTATTAAATTTGACTTCTTATGATATAGAGTTAGAAAATACATGTTAGAGATATAACGAAATTATATCTCTTAAAACATGAAAGGTACAGAGAAAAAATCAAACAATCAAAGCTTTTTGTCGAAATTGATCTGGTCATGGTATATTGTGGCATTTTCAAAGAACTTTTATACTCTTATCTGTTTTGATCAAGCACAGCTGTAATTCATTGCAAATAACGCCGAAAGATCTACCGTGGTAAAGAAAAACAATCATAATCCACGCGCTTGTGGGAAAGAACCATCAGATTTCAACGCAATGTAATCACTAAGTAAACACTGTGCATTTCGATATTTATTACCCATACTTTTTTCAATAGCTTTCTAAGATATCTAATGTCTTGAAATTTAAAATTGCGATTTTTTTTCGAAATTACTCCGGATGGACTTTGATCGTTTTTACTCTGTTCATATAAATTCTCAAATGGCAAAATAATTACTGAGATGTTCGATTAAAATTAAAAATATTATTAAGCAAATTAGATATGTTTTTCTTTAAATATGTGGATTTTTAAATGAATTTGCACGGGTATTACAAAGTTGTTTTCGCCCACTGATCATGCGCTGCATTTTCTGCAAACGCAGATAGTTCCCTTGATGTACTTTAATCCCTTAACATGAATCTGCAAAAATACATCCTAAGTAGCAAAATGACGTTTAAAGATGTCATTAAGACTTTATTAATACGTCACTCTGCTACTTGGGATGTTTACAATTCAATTATCGCGTTAATAAGAATAACATATCCATATATCCACATATCCATAGTGCTGGTGGTCAATTTCCCTTATCTCAATTAACTCATGTAATGCTTTCGTTTCCGCGATAGAAGGGGAGACTCTCTTATAAATTGGCTGCCAGTCGAAACCGTACTTCAATTAATTCACAGACAGCGTAAAGTTTACACGTTTTTCAATATCGTTTAAGTGAAATAAGAGTCGAATCAAGAAGTCTTAACAACTAACGTTCCGAAGTTTGCTTTAAAGTGTGAGTAGAAAATTTTTTTATTTTATACATATCGTAAATTTATTTTGACAAGTTAACTATTTAATAAATTATTTTAAAAATTTAAGAAATTACTTGCATCTATTAGCTATTTTAGTAGTAATTTGGAGTAATCGTATCATGCATTTAGTAGTAGTAGTAATCGTATCGTTCTATTGCAATTTGACCAATTGTAAAAAATTGATGCTTGAAAATCTATTAACACTAACGTCTGTAACATGATTATTAATTATTCATTGGCTTTTTGCAACTTACTTATATGTACAATTGGTTATTAAATACAACTAGTTGAATTAGAATTACATATAAGTAGATTATGTAATCTGATGCAACATATTACATAGACCATTTTTTCAACAGTTAATTGGTTACTGTTCTGTTGATACGTTTACATTAGATTTTACTGGTTTTGTAATTCCCGATTTTATTTATTTCAAATTTAATTCCTTCATTACAAATAAGAAAGAGTTATCAGATCGAGAAGAGTGCATTGGATAGAAAAAAATTTTTAAATAACAAAAACTTTGCATATACCTACATATATATTTATAAATATTATATTATTATTACAATAGGAATAGAGGCCAATAATCGAGCAAAACCGTAGATTGTGAAGATTCCTACACAGTTGGAAAATTTGTGTTAAATATAACAAATCACATGTCCAAAACGGTCCACTCAAATTTTTGTGATAATTTAACATAATATGGATGTGTTAAATGGTAACATTAATATTATGTTAATATTTCAACAGAAAAAAAATGTAATTTTGATCATAATTTGAAGTTACGTGTGTGTACAAATAACATAACTTTTATGTTAAAATTAACATATAAAAAATGTTCTTTTTACATTTTACAAATGTAACAACTCAAATTTTGATTAATATAATGTGTAAAAGTTACACTGTTTATGTGTTAAAAGTTTATTTTTTAACAAAAGATTTATGTTAACGTAACATTTTATTTGTGTAAAATGTAAATATAAGAAAATGTTATTTTTACATTTTAGAAATGTTAATTTTTTATTAATATACATATAAAGTGTTGGGTTTATAAATTATTATACATATTAAATAATTGAAATAAAAGTATTTCAATTATTTAATAAAAGTATTTCAATTATTAAATAACAAGTATTAAATAAAAGTATTTCAATTATTTAATACGTATAATAATTTATAAACCCAACACCCTATATGTATATTAATAAAAAATTAACATTTCTAAAATGTAAAAAAATAACATTTTCTTATATTTTATGTTTTGCAATTATTATATACGTGCGAGTAAAGGAAAATCGGGAAGTTGTATGTGGACTGTGGTAACGCTAACGCACGGCATCGGCACGAAGTCCTACCGGTGGGGTTACTGACCCTCGGAAGAATTTCGTCACGCAATCGGTACCGGTAGGACTTCGTGCCGATGCCGTGCGTTAGCGTTACCACAGTCCACATACAACTTCCCGATTTTCCTTTACTCGCACGTACTCGGCACTTTGCGAGCCAACGATAACTCAACCCATAGCTACCCAGACTAGATAGTCAATCATAATGGTTAATTACGGCGCGGACGCCACCACGCGTAGCGACGCCTCTTGTCCATTGGCTCCTGCACATACGTTTCCTGGGACGCGGAAACACTTGCCGCGCGGCAATGAGCGACGTCGAGACACTTCTCCTTCTTCTTCTTCTTCTTTTATATGGCCAAGCTACTGGGCTATATTGGCCAGGGCAAACCACTTGTCGTATAAGCCGCAAAAGGCGTCGTAAAAGAACGTTGTAGGCCTCGAAAGACGCCGATACACGGTATTGGAAATCACAGCGCAGACAGTAACAGTCGCAATACTTGAAAAAATTTTTCCGTCCGGACAAACACGTCCGAACACGATCGAGCACGCCAACCGATTCTACGAGTGACGTCAAAACTACGTCGAAATTATATGCGCAATCATCCCCACTTCTATTATAGAGTAAAATCAACACTCCTTTTCGGTAAATTTTTACTTCCATTTGTGTTAAAGAGTAAAATCAACACTTTTTTTCTGTAAATTTTTATTCCCATTTCTGTTAAAGAGTCAAATCAACACTCTTTTTTTGTAAATTTTAACACATTTAATAAATACGTTTAAATTGTGTTACTTTAACATATTTTTTTAATTATTTTAATAATTTCAATGTTAATCTAACGACAACGTCTGTCACTTGTAATTGAGACGCACAGGGACTAACATCGACCGTGAGAGCACGAAACATTTAACTACGATTTATCTCCGCATTTTGTAAGTGTAACCATCAGAGATTATTTAAAACAATCACACAAGCATCTTTATTCCTACTATTTAGATGTTAAATTTCAAAACGTACTTAAAATTTGACTACATCCGTTAATTGACATAAAACTCGACGCTCTTAAACTATTGACTTGATTCTTTTTCGCCATCTAACGAAGAATAAATCATGGATTCACCCTTGACTTCATAGTTGCGAATTATTTTTATATTTGACTTCATAGATATATATATATATATATATATGTATATATATATATATATATATATATATATATATATATATATATTTCTTTTTACATTTTATTAGTTGATTGCTCTCATGTGTGATGTGACTCCGAATGGCTTTGTCATTTACTATCGATACAAATCCTCGATTCCTATATTTTATTATACTCTTTATTTATTGCGCGACTTTATGTAACAATATCTAATTTTCGTCGGCTGAAGAAGACACTGTGTGCTCGAAACGTCCCGTCATATATACGTATGTAGTATGAGATAAAATGAACTTACAATTTGACATCTACTGTTTTGCTCGATTATTAGTCTTTATTCCTATTGTATTAAGACATACGAGCGATTTCCTTTTATTTATTATATTATTATGGTTATTTATACGTCCTAGCGAAAATAAATAGCTTTTTTAACGTGTTCTTTTTTACTAATTTAATAATTCTGAAAAGTTATATATGTGTATTGTTTTATTTTAAACAATTTTCTTTTTTTTTACAGATTCAGCAGTAACATTCGGACTACGATATTTAAATTTTGAATGGATTCGAAATACACTTCAAGTATGTCGAAATCACTAAAGTTGCAACCGCCTACATTGATAATCACGAGCAGTGAAAATGATTCTGAAGAGAAATTATTGAATGATAATGCGATAAATAACGCCTTTCTCAAAGTAAACCTCAAGGAAAACATAGATAGAGGTTTCTCGAGCGGCTTTGATTCTTCTTTCGACAGTTTTGACGAATCAAATAATTTATTGGACAATTTCGCCAACGAGCGCAAAAAATTCGTAATAAAATGCAAGCAAGAACTCAACAACAGCAAGTTACCGGAGGACTTCGATCAGTGGACAATCAAGAAGCAGTACGATCATCTTATGAACAATATCAGCAAATACTTTCCAAATATACCCGAATCTTTGAGATATGTCTTGCCGGCAATTTTTGAAAATGGGGACTGTAGACGAGAAACAAATGCGAAGCCGGATTGGCTGATCATGGATAAATTTTATCGCGGACAGCGCTTTGCCCAGCGTTATTTCAGCGCAATCGCAATAAGCAACCTGATGGGTCTGATGCAGATATTTAGCTTCTCTGACGGACTGAAACCGCTGATCCTCAGTCAAAAGTCAAATACTCCATATCGTGCTTTCCAACGATACCTCAGGACAATCAGGACCTTCAGAAACTGGTACACAAGCGATCCTTGGTACAAAGGAACGCCAGCTTATCGCGACATCCAGAGAGTGCGAAAGTTACACAGTGTCATGAGGCAGAAATTGTGCAAAAAAAACTTCGAGGAGATCGATCGGGAAAGCAAAATTCAAAACGCGTGGTGTCCTATGCTGGGAAAGATAAAAAAAGATTTCGCAAACGCGTGTCCGATGGCGAAGAATCATCAATGTCCTTACACAATGACGAAAACGAGAAGTCTAAATCAGGGCGATATGTCGGGCACGCAGTTCGCCTGCATGGGTCTGATAGTGCTTTATCCGGAGCAGTTCGGAATACACGACGCTAGCGATAAAGATCTAGAGGCTTTCTGTCACCTCTGGCGTGGATTAGGCTATTTGCTAGGAATCGAAGATCAGTACAACTTCTGTCACGGCAGTCTGAAAAAAGTGCGTCAGCGAACTAAAGACTTCATCGAGCACTGGGTGAAACCGAATTTCCACACGGTGACACCAGAATGGGAGCACATGACTACGTGTCTTTACGAGGGCGTAAATTATATCGTTAATATAATTTATTATAAAGTTCTTCTGCTCAAACTCTGTGGTATATTCGGATTCAGCATGCCTCACCTATATAATTCCTTTAGTCTATCGGAGAAAATACTGTACGCGCTACAGAAGTTCCTGTTCTCTTATATGGTGAAGCTACCTGGTGTCTTCTCTATCATGAACGCGATGTTAAACGCGTGTCTAGATCAGGCGGCAGACTTTGGACGCAGCAAACGTGACAGTCTTAAAAAGAAATCATCCAAAAAGATCGCAGAGATTATAACAGATTTAAATCGTTAAATTACTGTAGACATCTATGACCTATTCAGTTTCTATGAAGATTTATACAGACTTTGACAATCATATTGCAACAAGTTAACAATAAAAGATATACCTTTTGCTGTAGTTCTTGATAATTACATATTTTTTACTTACTAGCTGTACGCATGATAGTACCAGAAGATATGCGTTATTAACCCTTAAAGTACACACTACCTGTTTGAGACATAAAGTACACCCTAGGTCATTTTGACCCAGCGCTACTTTGCGCAATTACCACAAACGGGGGATCGATTCTTTTTGGCTGAAATTAAAAGGGTGCATTCTTGCAACACTCAAAATAAATATGAGATTGTTTGTGACGGGTTATTAATAAAGCTTTATGGTTTAAAAATTCAAAATATGGTTTATAAACCAAAAAATTGCTTTTTACGAAATATTCAATAACTTTCTAAATTTTCAATATTTTTACGTGAAAATTTAACTGCATACTCTCTGGATTATATACTTTAAGGTAAAAATACGCGCGAAAGCTAACATTTCAAAAAATGACCCGTGATTTTCGGAATGTTTGACGTGGACGGCAGCCAGACACAGCCGGACGCCTGCTGACTTACAGCGACTGTACCGCTATCTAGAGAGAGGTTAAAACTACCAAGATATGGCGCGACAGATCCCGATTTCAGCATTTCAATGGTAAATAATGCGACACAATTTTTTTACTGGGTCATTTTGACCTAGGGTGTACTTTAAGGGTTGATTTAAAAAAAAAAATTTAAAAAGCATGCAAAAAAATCATAAATATAATCATAAATATAATCATAAAAACTGAATTTTATGTAGAAATATTGATAAAAACCAAAATTATGAAGAGAAACGGATTTTTTAAGTATTTCCCGAGTATTGTTTTATATTAAATAAAAAAAAATTAATATATTTGTTAACTAAGAAAAATATTATTATATTTAACGTAGAATATTTAACATATTTAGTTTATTTAATTTTAAAAATTATATTTTGGAAAGTGTATTTTATTCTTTCAATTTTTATTCTTTTAAATTTATTTTAAAAATAAGAATTTTTCTAATAGATATAAAATTTATTTTATTTATTGTTTATTTATGATTTATGTTTATTAAATTGCAGAGATGTTACGCAAATTATTTATTTATATCGTACATTTATAAAAGAGCAATATATTATATTCGCCACCATTTGTATTTTTTTACAGAATATAAATTTTAGTAATAAACTGTTTATATTAATTACTTTGATCAATTCTCCTTTTTTTCTACTCTTCCTATAGTTTTTAAAATAAATTCGACATAAGTTTCTATCTGATTTTATCTGATAGAAACAGATCAACCTACATAGAGGCCCTCCACCACCCCCGCCGATCTCGATTGGCGGTCCTCTTTTATTTACAACGGTTTTTTTTACCATTTTTATCATTTATTTTATTTCTTTTACAATTTATTTTACAATACATTATAAAAGAGTTACATTACAAAATTGAAAATATAATATACAATAAAATTATGTACAAGGGTCGGTACGAAAGTAATGCCTCCTAATTTTTTTCTTTTGAATCTGGCGCTATAGAAAATTTTGTGTTTCACTAAGTTGTTACTTTGAATCTACTTGAAGTTTCTAGTTGCATTATGTTGAGTGATGTTGTGATCATTTACGTGAGTGTGTTACACGAGCAGTTTGAACTGGTGTGTGTTTCAAATATGCGTCACAGACAAGGGCGCGGTGGTTGAATATCGTAACTTGAATACCTAACGTAACTGATCACAACACCACTTAACTTAGTGGAACTAGCGACTTCAAGTAATAACTCACAATCAGTGAAACGCAAAATTTTCTATGGCGCTAGATTCGAGAGAAAATAATTAAGAGGCATTACTTTCGTACCGACCCTCGTACAATATCTTATTTTGTCTTTTCAATTATCGAATTATATATCCCCTTTGTTCCTGCCTAATACTCAAATCCCTACCTACCTGAATCCCTACCTTCCCGAATTCCTATACCTACCCGTATTCCGATTTATAGTCCTACCTATCTCCATTTTCCTACCTACCCGTATTACAAACTAATATATAAATCTTTAATCAAGACCGCGACACGATTTATAAAGGGCTTGACGGGATATCTGCGACATGTGTAAAGTGACACGATCACCTAAGAAGTGGGAAATGTAGAATTGGGGGTTGTAAATACGCGCGCGATTGGGATTTAATTTTCAATCTCGCATATGCGAAAAAATATATAGAAAAAATAGCCCTACTTTGGGCAAATAAAAAGATATGTCAAATTTTGTATGTTATAACATACATAAGGTATACCTTATTCATTTCACCATTGTGGTCAATATTGACCACTTACCTTATCAAATGCAATCTTCTTTCTTCGGGCCAGATCGGACTTACCTTTGTCACTCCTGGCCACATACAATCTGGTCGTATTTCGACCAAATTAATAAGGAGAAAAATTCCTTCGATTGTCGGATCATTACTATGACCAACAGATATAACAATACGTTCGGTTCGAATTATATGCGAGCATCGATTGTGTAAAAAAATGCACACCGAGAAGTTAATTTACAAAAGAACATTGATTCATAAAAATTGACTGCACAACATTGATAAAATATATTTTTATTACTAATTCCATTACTTATGTAAAAATACGGATTGATCGTTTCTTTGTGACCCGTTCTTTTAATTTGGAATTGTAATCAACTATAGAAACAATTTTACTTCGCGTTATATTCCACGAAAAATTGAAATTTATAATACAAACAAATTTAAAAAATAAATAACAAAAATTTCTCGATGTAAAAACCGACCGCGAAAATACGTAATTGTGCATGTTGGTCATGCGGTACGCATTTTGAAAATATATCAATTAAGATATACAAAATTGTGACAGGAAATTCTGAACTCAACGTCTCGCAGTCTAAACTCTCGG